TCGAAACAAATGGACTCAAGTTTATGCTGCCATCAAAATACACACAGAGAGTAAAAGCAAAGGGAAAAAAAAACATTTCCTCAGAGTCCAAAAGACAGTTCTAGACAGAGGAGACACACTGGGCTTAAAAAGATAAACCCCCCATGTTGACTTTTCTTCCTCCAAGTGGGCTTTTGAGATACACAGTAACCCTCCCCGCCCCACGTAGAGAGAACCACTCTTCTGTCAACCACATCCAAGTGCTTGTTTTTCTCCGAGGTCCCAGGAGGTGCAGAACTGTGAAGCAGTCAGTGAAGACAGCTTCTACCAAGAACACCCTTGCCAGTCCCTCAAATGCAGGTAAGGCCTTTTTCTTTTTTTAACTTAATTAACAGCCATTAAACATCTAACAGAAAGCGAAGCCCTATTACTCAGGAGCTACAGCGAGAACCAGTGTTCAATTCCATCTGCCACCCGCAACGCGCCCAATGTAAAAAGGAATGTGTTGTCATTTAACCCAATGATAGAACATGTGGGCATCAGACTGGGTCACAAGGAATTTAAAGGAACCTGTGGAAAACGGGTAGCTTCTCCTCTGCTGCCCCTGCCATATCCCCGAGGTACATCTTGCTCCAGATGGAATGAACTTCACAATGAGTGCTGTTCGTTAAGGAAAAACAGACACATGCTGTAAGTCCATTTATTCAGAAGCTCTTACATTTGTTTGATTTCCACATTTTCTTTTCAGTGCTTTCTTGGAATTTTCATGACCACATAGGCCCCCATATTTGAAGTGTCTATACTAAAGGTCCCTAATGCCTTCTTCCTGGTGGCACTGGGTTAATTTGCAGACCTATGAAATCATAGGATTCCTACTGACAATCCAAGAGACTAGAATTTGAGTAACTTAGATCATGCAAATCAATCCAAGCTCTTAAGGCTGAGCACACGGGGTAAAAATGAAGTTACCCATAGTGATATGGATTGTGTAACCTTTATTATCTCTGAATCCACTGGTCTAAAAATCACACAAATCAGATTAAACAGGAATACCACAGTATGCTTTATTTTGCCAGTATCCATTAGTTCATCAAATTGATATAGCCAAAACTTTAGGTCGCAGCAAACATCAGTTCTTCCAAAGAAACTTAGGTGAAAAACAATCCTTTTGTCCGTGAGTTCCAAGTCCTACTGTGTGATCCACTGTCATACTGATGGAAAAATGAACTCAGTGAGCAAAACTAACTGAATCCTCAAGTTCACAGATCTGGGGCCTTCCCATATTTTATTGTAATTAAAGCAGCTTTTGTTTTAACCCTCCACAAATATTTTGCATTTTAATCTTCATTCTCAAGCAAGAATTAAACACATCTGCTAATTACCTAAGATAAAGCCAGGATACCTAATGAAAAATTAGTGCTCTTAGCCTCCTACCCAGAAGGTAGGAAACTTTTAGGTGAAGCCTTCATTTTCTATGTATCTGAATTTCCAGTTCATATACTTTGCAAGGTCACAAGCTGATTTACATAATCTGGCTTCCCAATCATCTCAAAAATATTTATTGAAATTAAGCCACTGTTCCTTACGGTGCCATCATTTTGACCAAATAACAAAGAAGCAACTGTTTTCACAGGAGAACATTTTAAAAGAAAACTTTCTATACTTTGCAAATAGAGGAGAGCTTGAATCTGTAAGTCAGAGCTGGAGAGTTCTAAGGGGATGTAACTGAGCAGTCTAACCCTTTGCCATGCTGGAAGAGAAAGATCTTGATGAAATCTCTTCCTTTTTAACCCAATTTTCTAATTCTAGTTATTGGCAAAGAGTTCTGGCATCAGTTAACGGCAACAACACAGTGGCGAGCACTGCACTGGGCTGAGAGGTAGACTGGGACTTAATTCTTGGATTTATTAGCAAACTAACTTTATTTAAGGTTTAGGCTTCATTTTGTAATCCATGGAACACTTCCGAAGTGAAGGCAGATCTTTGGAGACTTCTGTTTTTAGTGAGAGAAAAAACAGCCCAGTAAAATCAGCATCTGCCTTGTACTAATAACAGGTGTGCGAAGTAGCCATTTGGGCCCTAGAGAAATACAGACCTGCGCTTACAAATCGAAGGGCAATTCAACAGCCTAGCCAACCAAGTGGCCCTGGGATGAACGGTCTCCAGTACCTTACTCCGGAAGCCAGAGCCATGAGAGGTCCCTAACGGGATATAAGTCTCTATCAAGATCAACAAATTTACAGTGTATTCGCAGTCTAGCTTTGGCTAGGCAGCCATCTGACTGATGACACTTCAGGGCCCACTAGCCTCTAGAGTTAGCACTTGCTGCTGCAAGAAAAAAAGAGATCAATACATTAAAAAATGTCAATTAGAACTTATTCATATAGGGAACGGGAGAGTGCAGGAGACCCACAAAGTATAGGAGTGTTTTGGGGGGGTTGGTGGAGGATGAATTCACTAAGTTAAGGCTCTAAGGGAAAAAAAAAATCTAAATTATAGCCCTAAAAAACCATAACCCATCCTATAGCAATACTTTAAAAAAAAAAAAGCTGAAGATCTTACTTCATCCTTCAGCATAAATATCAAGTCTGAGATAATCAATATATTCCAAATTCCAGAAGGCAAAAAGAAAAAAAAAGACATCCTTATTGAAATAGAGCTGCCGCTAACGGTAAAATGAAGAAAACAGACGGACTGCTGCTATTAAGCACATACTGTGAAGCCATTTCTTTCTCACTTTTTTTGAACAGAAAAATACTAAGCAGATTTAAATAATCCTGATCAGGAGGTGAGGAAAGGAAATCTTATTACGAATCAAATTTTATGCTTGCCACCAATGAAAAGGAATTCATGATGTTCTTGAATTTATTTCCCCAAGCAAGTTAAATTCTCTAACAGCTTTGATTTTGTAAACACTGTCAACCAAAGTAGCAAACACAAGGAGCTACAACATATAAAATTATTCTTCAGTAAAAATGCTTTCGTAATTGAATCCAGAGGCTTAAAATCATTATTTACTAAAAAACAAATTCTAAGCCACAATTTTTCTTCTGATAACACTTTAGCAAAGGAAGAAAAAAATAGAAAAAAAAAAAGAAGAAATTGGTCCTAATACTGTTTTTTTTCTTACGTAAGTGCTACTCATGCCCAGGTTAGCTAGCAATTCACTGAGGTTAGTCAGCAGATCTTAAACAATTGGCTGCACAGAATTTCCTGGCATCTGGCCAATGGAAATGTAACTTCTGAGAGCAAAAAAACAGCACTAGATTTAATTGATTACACAGACTGATAACCAGTACGACTTTTCCTTCTTCCAATCATATAGGAGATAAAGACAACAATTATAAGGAAGCCCAAGGCCACACCCACTGCAACAGGAATAAGAAAGTTGAGGTCAGAGTCAGCAGAACATTCTTCAGCTGTTAGAAAAGAACAGACAGAGAGCAAGGAAATTAGTAAGGCAGGCAATTAAGCAGCAACAAGCAAACAAGCATTTCAAAAGTGAACACAGATAAGTCTTTAACAGCATTACCTCTATGTCCCTATTTTCTCGATATCCACCCAAATATTTCTAAGGAACCAATCCTCCAATATCTCCCATTATTATTACTTCATCTCAGATACCTAATTTCCTCAGTACAAAAAGCAGAAGGGACGAACAAGATCTGTGCTCGCCTAACACGGGAAGATTTTATGTTTTGTTGTCTAATGACACTGTGGAAAAGAACCATCATCTACATTTAGCACCCCACCTGCATGTTTTCCCACTCCCATTCTCCCTTGCCACAATTATCATCAACATATAAATAAGAATTCTGCAGGAGTAATAAAATTTAAGTTAAAATGGACTTAGGATCAAGAAAATGCAGTATAGTTTTTTCCCCCACATGGACATTAGGTTGCCAGCTTATACATGATTATATGTAGCTGATCAGGGACCTGTAAGAGTAATAGAATCCAACACATCATAGTCCATTCCGGGACTGCCAGGAAGGCAGTGTGTATGTAGATTTTGAGCTCTGGACTCAGAACCAACTTTGCATCTCAACTACTTCCGTAACTAGCTAAAGGACTTTGGTCAAGTTACTGAAACCGGGCTCGTGTTCCTCATCTGTAAAAGGGGGATAATCATGCCTGTACTTAAGGTATTTGAGGACTAAAGACAATTCTATTTCTAAAGCATCTATCACACATCAGGTGGTCAACAGGTGATCTTTCCCTTTTCCTTTCCTGCCATGTCTGTGATCCCATCCAAGGGTTAGGTTTTGAAGTAGCAGAGATCAAAAGCCAATATTCAGTACTTTCAAAAATTACTTAATTGACATTGTGTTAGTTACTGAAAGTAGTTAGTACAGAAGCTCAAAGCCCCCTTCTGATCTCCTAATTTCACGTTTAAACTAGTTTTACTAGTGAGTGACTAGATTTCCTTGGGATAATTGCTATCAAAATGCTAATCTGGTGTTGCTGCCCACCAGATATGTAACCTCCACGGAGCCACTCCCTTTCCTGTGAAATTACAGGGTTAGAGTCAATCATCTTTAACGCCCTTTCCAGTATAAGCCTAATGCAATGCACAAGATGTGGTATTTGGTGTGACTTATGACTGAGTGATAACTTGCGCTTTTTCCTCTAATTTTATCTTTTGTTCCTCTTGCACTTTTATCATTCATTAAAAACACAACACAAAACAAAAAAGAGTTGCTGAGGTTCCAAGTACATGAATTTCAGGAAAAACCATAGCCTTTATTGGAAGGATTCACTGTATTTCATGGAAAGCCTTCAGAGAAAGACAGCTAGCTGGGTACCAAGATACTGTAATCGGTGGGTTACAGAAATTCTGAACAAGCCAATATATACACAGAAGGAATTAATAAAATAATCACTTTAATGTGAATGTCTGCTCCAATCCATTGATTAAGCTTCCTTCTTCTTTGTCTATACATTCAGTATCTGAGCAGCCCTCATGGCAAGGAGGGCGCTTCCACAGAGGCTGATTATCTAGCTCATTTTCATGCCAACAGCTCCCCCCCCATCTATGCTCTGCCCCACGGAGGCCTTCATGAAGAAGCAAGAGCCTAGTTGCTATGCTTCACTGCCTCCCTTCTGAGATTGCCGTTAGCTTACATTTCGTAAGTAGCAGTCTGATGGCAACACTAAATAGATTTTAATGCTCTAGCGATCAACAAGATGAGGTAGAGAAACACAACACAATCTGTCCTAATTAGTTCATAGAATATTTCTATCTTTCAATGCTAATCAGGCATCCAAAGAAGAGAAAAACACAAGGGGGAAAAAAGGCCAGTGGTTACATGTGCTTGCATCTTCTCAGTCTCTACTGCTGAAAAAGAAACAATTTTTCTAAAACTCTAGTTCTGAAGCCAGCTCAAGTTCTGCTGTGGCCCCTTGGGGCTGTTTTTTACCTAGGAAAAAAAAATCACAGGCCTGAGATACGGACTCCATCCTTAAATTGAACTCAAAAGAAAACAGCAGAAGTCATATAACCTAAAAAATGTTGATGGTCCTGAGGACGTTCAACTGAAAACCAAGTTTGAGCATATCTGATGGGCACTTATGTCACATCAACATTTATTTAATGAACTATACACAAAAGTACTGTGGTGAGCTTAAATCAGGATAGTTCTCATACATTAAAACAGAACACCGGTGGTGAAACAGTATTTATTAATTCCATTGAGAGACAACTGCATATTTTATTCTTATAATGGCCATGTTTATAAATTTAAGGCATCTTAGGATCAAAATCTGGCTGAGGCCTCTTAGGATAGACCTTAACACACTGCACACCGATGTGTTTTTAACCAGTTCGTCTTCAGGACCAGTGAATATAGTATTTAATTTTCAGCTGAGAAAAGAGAACAGTCTTTATTCATAGAGACTTCTCTCAAAATGCTGGGACTGATTTCAGAATTACCATTTCAATATTATCAATCTTAAAGAGCAACGTGTTTCAAGATGGAGAGGCAAGAAAATCTCATGCACGTGTATTTTTATGTCATCGATCAGACTGCAGGTTCTAAAATTGCTCATATCCAGCGTGATGGCGCTTCAGACCAATAAAGTAAGCCAGCAACACTAGAATAAGTACTCCTGCCAACGCTGCTCCCACCACAATGGGCACAAGGAAGCTGTCGTCATCTGCACTGCAGTCTTGAGCTAGACGTGGAGAAAGGACAATTGAGAACAGGAACAATGACACAATTTCAAAGCCACATTTGTTATGTTAACACACAGCCTTGCCTTTGACATCGCGGTCATCAGGCTTTGGCCCTCCTTACCAGCGAATGAAAGGTTCCACGAAAGTGATCCTCCAAGGAACCAAATTATACATTTTTAGGTACCCCGCTCACCCCCCGCAAAACACAGTCATTTGGGATGAAAGACAGATTTTCAATTGATCACCGACTTCCCAGATTCCTTAAACAAAAGATAATGGGTAAATATAATGAATCTTTCCTTGATGATCGCCTGTGGGCTCTCAGGGGGCAAATTGCTGATCACGTAGCAGCAGCACAGCGCCCAGAACACCGCTGATCGTGAGGTATTCATGAAATGAACTGAATGAAACGGAACACCACCAAGGGGACATGAGCACTCCACGCCCCGCACTTGCGGGTCCTTCAGTGGAGAAAGGGCTAAGCCGGCACGGCTAGCGTGACCGCTTGCGTCCAGCACGAGTCAGACAAGAGAACCAGTGGTTATAGTCTTGGAAAGGTGCTGTCACGGGGGCAGGCAAGGCGCAAAGTGTCACGGAAGCATTTCAGAGAGACACTCGACTCAGCCTTGTTACACAAGACATACTTTGAGAGGGGACACTGGAGCTGAGCTGTTGAGGATGAGTAGGAATTCACCACCCAGGTAGTGGGGGAAGCGCGTTCCAGGGACAGGAAACAGCACAGACAAAACTAGCTGGAGGGGAAATGCAGGCAGAGCTGGCAGAGCTGGGACGGACCGAGGGGTACTCGTGGCTGGAAGAGGCAGGAAGAGGGTACTAGGACCAGCTCACAAAGGCACTGTAGGCTCTACGTATGTCTGCCTTACACTGATGCGAGTGAAGAGTACAGTGGGATTTCAGGCAGGGCGGAAGTCATTCCAACAGGAGACTGGAAAGGAGGCGGCGCCTCTACTGCTAGAGGCCAGAAGACCAAGAATTCTGTCCTGACCTGAGTGAACCAAGCGCAGATGCAGAAAGGGACAGCCTAGATGCAGTAAGAAGGCAGAACGGACCAGGTGGGTGTTGGAGTGGTGCGAGGTGATACGATGGCTTCCAATTCCCCACCTGAGTGACTGCGTAGATACCGGTGCCGTTCATCCCAATAGGGAGTACGGGAAGGAGAATGTATGTGTCCAGTTTTGTCGGTAGTTATTTGTGTGGGGGAAGGGTCAGGAGGGATAAGTGCAAGAGGGAGACGTTCAGTTTTGGACCTTCTGGGCTTCAGATGCCTGTGTCCCAACCGGGTGGCAGTGAAAAAATGATGAACCTGAGTGGTGGTAAAAACCAGGGACACGTTTGTTTCTCAGCAAGGGCAAACAGAATCTAAAAAGGCTCAGAGACACAAGCCTCGGGGACACTATTTGAGGAATAAAGGAGCAAGAAAAAGAAAAAGTCAAGTAGACAATGGTGCCACAGAAGCCAAGGAAGGGAGTTTCAATTAGTACAGGGGAAGAGCGAGAGCTATTAGAGAGGCCATGGGGTCTGGCGACATGGAGGGTACTGGCTGTGAGGCAGATCACTGCTGGTTTAGGAGCAAATGGGAAGCGATCGTTTAGGAGACCAAGAACTTGGGTTGGGGAACATCCAGTGGTCATCCCGAGAAGTTTAGAAGAGAGGGCATGAGGGAGGGAGTCAGAAGGTGAACCACAGGGTCTAGAAAGTGTATCTTCAGGGTGGAAGACTCAGATGCGCTTGTAGAATGAGGGCAAGAGCCACAAACAACTGACCGAAGCCAACAGTACGAGGTCTCCCGGGAGGTAGGTGAAATGGGATCCCAGAAGCAAAGCCAGGGAGAGTGGAGAGGAGGAAGGGGTGGCGCCCGCAGACAGAAGGCAGCTGGGATGTTGAACCCCCACTTCTGATTCCCACGTCCTTGCCTCTTATTGCCCTAGTTCTCCTCTGAGCTCACAATCTGCCAGGGGTGGATAAATCAGATAATCATGCTTATTAGAACTGTGTCAAAGAAAGAATGAATAGGCTGCCAGGCAATTCTGATTGTGCCTGCATTTAAGAAATGTGCCAGGCTTTTGCTAGCCTCTGCGTAATAACTGGGAACAAGATGCAATCCTGGAGTTTATGGACTTTATGATATCAGCTTTGGCTGCCAGCTCAGTGAGCTTTTTTGCTTGCTTCTTGTTCTGTTAGAAATCCAGATAGCGAAGACTGCTGGATGTGACTTGGTATTAAGAGCACCCAGTTAGCGGACTCCTCCCCTTCAATTTCCCAAATTACCACCCACCACATAAACCGTTAGGTGACATGAACCATAAAGTATTATGCCTTAGATTTAATGTAACTTGGTTTTTAAAAAATTCATTAGTAGATTAATTTCTTATTCTGGCAACAGATTCACAGTCCTCCTTTTCCCAAATTGGGTATTTGACCTAGTACTGAAACAACTTTCATAAATACTGCCAATAAGGCTTTCATGTAAGACAAATATTCCCAGAGTAGATCAAAAAGGCAATTCCACTAATACAAAGATCTTTCTAGATGCTGTCACTTACTTAAAATGCTCTCAATTAGTATGTGAAGTATTAATTTATAATAACTATTGATTTTATGAATTCAACCTTTAAAAATTCTTTAGGTAATGGAAAGACATTTTGGAAAACAGTAATTTTAATAGGATCACATCCTGAGGAAAAGAAAATCTCATTCTGTAAGTCATTTCCACCTGATTTGCATAATGTACACTGGAAACCAAACTGAAAGTATTGGAGGGGGGACAGTGTATTTGTGGAAGAACTTAATGATTAATTACAGAAGCAGTGAAGATTTTTAAGGAAAAAAGTTTCGTGGCCATTGAAATGTCAATGTAAAGTTTCATGAAGATTAAAAATACTGTTAATCCTCATTTTTCTGTTAGCTCAGAAATTTTTCAGATACAATTTTCAGTGTGAGTTGGAAAGCTGAGATACACATTTGTAATAAAATATAAAACAAATTCATCTTTTTACCAACTGTATCAGAATTTCTATTTGGAAGAATCAGCATTAAGAATCATATTCTTGGGGTGCCTGGTGGCTCACTGGGTTAAGCCTCTGCCTTCAGCTCTATCAAATAAATAAATAAAATCTTAAATGAGTCATATTCTTATGAGACATCTTATTATATACCTTTTAGATCTACAGTCAAACTGAAGTATAGGACATGAATCTGAAGATACTTGAAGCTACTCAGTATGACCCAAACATGTCTTTTACTAGTTTTAAAAACAAGATATGGTAATTATTGATGCACAAAGTTAGTTACCAGAGTAAAGGAGATGGGTGAGAGAGAGATGAGCCCAAGACAGTGTAACTCTATCTACTTAAAGAAATGAGGATGAAATGCTATCATCTTAAAAATATTTTGAGTCTTACAAGAATTCTTCCTGAAACACGCAAGAAACTTCAGATGGCACATGTACACTGTATATAAAGTATGTTCTTGATTTTTAACTAGTAGCTTATCAGATTCCCTCTGAAAATCCTCAAATTTTCATTGTAATGGAAACTATCACTCACAGAAACTAAGAGGAACAGGATTATAAAGACCTCGGTGGGCCCCCAGATGAAGAAACTGAGACCCCAGAAGTTAAGCTGCTTGGCCAAAGTCACATGGCGGCCAGTTGTAGAGCTGGGAGTTGTGAGGATTAACTGGCAGTCAGGGAGCTTAAGTGGGGAGGCCAAAGGACAGTTACTAGCCAGGCTGCCAAGTTTTTGTGTGTGGGAAGCTATGGGAAACTTGGAAGGTTCAAGTTGTTTTAGGGTGATCTGACAGTGACTGCACACAATCCTATTTTGGTTTAGATCAACAGCTGAGTCAGTATGGCGCCAACACGCACCTACTGGGGATCAGCCTCAACTGAGAGGGGCTGAGGAAAAGTGAACAAAGAGATACTCTCAAGCTTTTCCTATGAAATACATATTCTAGATCACTGGTTTTCCGATCTACATACCAGATCCCACCAGGGAGCTTACGCAACCCCCCCCCCAAACACGTGCACACTCGTGCTCACACACGCAGGCACATGCTTGTACACACACACACATGCCCAGACCTGCTAAGTGAAATTCTCTAGGAATGGAGCCCAGCATGTGCCTTTTTCTAACAAGCTTTCCAGGTGATTCTTATTCTAGCCAGCCCAGCATCGGTATAGACCTATCTATGCATAGGACCATTTTTCTAGATGGTAACACACAGAATATTCTGGAAATAATTTAGTTCCACTTCTAAGCTTTTCTAAAATTCTCCCTTTTGGAAGAAATTGTCATTATGTAGCATACAAAATTTTTACTTTAACCAACAGGAAAAAATGTGAGCAAATATCCTTAAGAAATAAAAGAATCTTTATTGTTTGTTTTAGAAGCAGTATGTTAAGCAAATGGACAGGCAAATATCTAAAGAGAAACACCATACATCGACTAGTGGTTTAAACATTTGAAGAAAAAAAAAAACCATGGAAAGTATTTACATGGACCAGTTTCTTTATACAAATGCTAAAACATGAAAAACACCCAGAACCAGATAGCAATGTTAGACCATCAAGGTATAAACCCAGTAAAATGAACAGAACTACAAAAGGTACAAAGAACATGTGGCTACAGGAAATAATAGTGTGAATAAGAGTATATAAACCGGCCCATGTAAAATACAAAAATACTCAATGAAGTCAGTTTCTATAAACAGTGCTAATTAGAGGTATTTTAATATGAATTAAGTATATAATCTAAATGTAAAACCTTTTAGAAACATGAACAGCATTAAGCTAGTCCCACCTGCTTGTGCTTCCAATTTTTATTTTCCAAAAAAAAAAAAAAAAAAAAAAGGCTGCTCTGTTTCGACTCATGAGAAGTATCTAACGTCTATATTCTTCTAAGCATTACCCATTCATATAAGGTTAACAATCCTACACCAGAGTATTATTTAAGTAAAAAATAAGTTTTAAAAATCAGATTTATATTTATTCCTCAAAAGGTGCCTTAAGCTGGCAATGCAGCTCAATGTAGCTGTAGGGGAGGGGCTGGTCAGGAATCAAATTCCGAGCCAGTAAGAGTTTCAGGCTACTCTAAGCAGAGGGCAAATTTAAGTGGAAGAAAATTTTTACCGCTCCAATGTAACTTGAAAGATACTTACGGACATACACATGCTAGCATGCAATTGTGGTGTGTAGAGCTAAACTACCAAATTAATTCAACATCAGTAATTGTTTGAAACCCAAATGTCCCATTTTCTAGTGAAAATGGGGGCACATCATCTCCCACCCCCAAAACACAAGCACCTTCCACATAGGGGAGCATATTAACAACTCTTTAATATTTACTCAGACATTCCAACACCCAAAAAAAAGATCTCCTAGAAGCAGCGCGAAATCCTTTATGTGTTAACTATCAAGCTGAAATGTTTTGCTTTCTCATATAAACATTAGCTAGTGCACAGTAAATGGACAACTGGTGCCATCTCCCAGGGCACAAAACTGATCACAAAGTACATGAATGAATAATGATTCTACCATAATGAACAATAATAATGCTAAGTTTTGATTAGCACAGAACCATTTAACGGTGAAAGCCAATTTAGTAAATGCTGTAAGTGTCAATGCAAGCTGGAAACAAGGAACAACTTTTTAATGGGGTAAGAGAAGACCAAGACTTTTGGGTTAGGTGCAAGTTACTTGCTAAGTAGAAGTGCACTTCTTTAGCAGAGTTCTAGGACATCCTGGCATTTCTTCTTTAAGAAAGAGAAAAGGAAAGGAGAGAAAAGGAAAGGAGAGAAAAGGAAAAGAAAGGAAAGGAAAGGAAAGAAAAAGAAAAAAAGAATACAACATCCTACCACTAGCAAAGATACTGCAAAGCTGAAGAGAAACTACATTCATTTTAGCAGGGTACCTAAAGGCCAATTTACAGGTACGAAGGGCTAATGCCCCAAATTGGCATGGCCTAGCAATTATCTCTAAAGCACCTAGAAAGTAAGACTGAAATGCCCAGTTTGAGTCTTGTGTCTTGCCATTTAAAAGACGGAAAATTCCAGGTTTTTTTTTAAAGGATTAAACAAGATTAACACCTATTCCAAAATGTATACAGCTTTTGTACCTTTTGTCATTACAGCCACATTAAATACAAGTATATTCCAAACGCATTAGAAAAGCATTCGTTGCTAAGAACATAATACCAGACTCTATGCGAATCTACTGGTGTAACTCTCATAGGTCAATTATGCAGCAATGCCAAAGTCGCTAAGTTCATCTGCAAACAGAATCACAAAAAAATACAAAAGGAGCAAGTACAAATCCACTGTAGGGTGCACAGTCTCAATTTGGACTACATGCAGGGGAAAAAAGAATCTCTTTTTGAAAACTGTTTTTCCTCAACTGTTTGCTTCTAGTCAGAATACATAAAGTGAAAACACTGAGATCCTAACTCAAGATAACAGAATGCAGTCAATCATCCAGGTGACTTTACACATGCTTTTTCCCATAGAAATTAACAGTTTTAAATTCCGTGGTTGAGGAAACCAAAATCAGGGGACTAATTTGTAGTTGATATTTTCATGGTGTTTTTATTTATTAAAATTTTGAAATCCCCCACACCACCCATTCTAAAATGAGAACTGCAGCTAAATATACCTGAAATTGAATAGTACTGCATGTTGGAACTTGTACTTGCTTTATTATTTTGTAACAGAGATCACATGGATTAGTATTACAGAGTCTGATATCCGGCATAGCTTTTTCTTCTGCCAATTAGGTAAGCAATCACTATAACGATAATCAAGCCTGAAAGACCAGCACCAACTATAATTGGTATTAGAATGGTGTCATCGTCCAGCGAACACTCCTGGGCTGTAGGTGAGAAAAAGTGTGTAACAAATAATGAGTATAATAAAAAAATGAATGTCCAAAAGTAAAAGATGTTGATTCAAAAGTCAGAAATGCTCTTACAAAATCAACTTTAAGGAACTAAGTCAGGTATATTTTAATGACAAAGCTACAAAAAAAGTATGGATTGCTCTAGAATTAAAATCCTAAACTTATTTGTCTTTTCTTTTGTGTATGTATATTCGTATATATGAATACACACATACTCATTTATATCCAGGAGTAAATACATATGTATGTGTATGTATTTCATATTCTAAGTCCCTTCTAGAATAAAGCAGTGAAGAGGGGCATCAGGGTGGCTTAGTCCGTTAAAGCATCTGACTCTTGGTTTTGGCTCAGGTCATAATCTCAGGGTCCTGAGATCCAGCCCTGCATCGGGCTTCGAGCTCAGCAGAGTCTGCTTGAGATTCTCTCCCTCTCCCTCCACCCCTTGCCCAGCTTATGCGCATGCTCTCTCTCAAATAGATAAATACATACAATTTTTTAAAATTTTTTTAATCTTTTTTTTAAGAAAAGATTGTATTTATTTATTTAAGAGAGACCAAGATAGCAACAGAGAGAAAAGTTGCAGACGAGAGGGAGAAGCAGGCTCCCAGCTGCACAGGGAACCCAGTCTGGGGCTCTATCCCGAGATCATGACCTGAGCTCAAAGCAGACATTTAACCGACTGAGCCACCCAGCCACCCCAATAAATAAATAAAAACTTTTTTTAAAAAAAGAAAAGAAATGAGGAGAGCTAATTCTAACCCATCTCTATATAGTCAGATCAGCCTCTTAGTGCTAGAGTGAATGTCTTTTGGGAAACTTAGAACAGATCAGAAAGGATTCATCAGGGCATTAGAACCACGCTGACTCTGGAATCTTTCAGAGCAGAGAGCAAACTATAGACTGGAGGCCCTATCTGGCCCAAGAGCTAAAATTGGCTTTTCTCCATTTTTATTTAAATGGCCAAAAAAAACCCCAAAAACAAAAAAAGAAATTCTGTGATACATGTATTACATGAAATTCAAATCTCAGCAGCCATAAATAAAGTTCTATTGGAACCCAGCCACACTCATTTATTTATTGCCTGTTTGGCTGTTTTCATGCTACAACAGGAGAGCTGAATGAATGGTGGTGACAGAGCTCTTATGGTCTGCAAACCTGAACCGCTTCCTGTCCATGACTTACAAATGAACTCTGCGCACCCCCGACCTAGAGTGTATGATCTTAGTGGCTACAGAAGTCAAGAAACGGGGACCTCTTACTGATCTGCGTTGTGTTTACTACATTTATTAACCTGGCCAGAGCTGGCAACCCACAGGGGCTAGCTTTTCTATTTCCAGAGAGTCGTCTGATCCAGTAAAATCCATTCAACGCTCTTTGACCTGATTACAAGTCTACTTCCTCCTCCTGCACAGGCAAGCGTCAGCAGTGTGTCTTATCTACAGGTACCCAGGGTCGGGAACCTAGCTCCGCGAACACATTACACGTTCATTACCGCTATCGAATGTTGCGTATTCCTTTGGGTACCATTTTTAATTTGACATACATAAAAACCAAGGTTTCAAATTCGAGAAAATAACACAGCTCATCGCTATTACGGCTGACTAGATAAACAGACTCGAGCTGGTATCACGCTGCAAATGATTTTCAATTCTAAACACCAATCTGGACCTAAAATTAGGGTAATAATGGAGGGGAGCTAGATAAAGACTCAAAAATAAAACTATGAAAAGGATTAAAATAATTGTAGTACATAAGCAAAACTGACACGAGGGAAAATGAATTCTTGAGAAAAATTTCTCAGTCTGATTAACCTCTCTTGTCACAAGAATGGTAGGATGAAGATCCCAACTTACCCGGGCCTAACTAGGTCAGGCTGGGGACCCAGAGCCACCGCAAAGGCGGCCACATGGCTCACGGCAGCACACAACTGCCACACTGCCTTCTAAACCATAGAATTAATTATTACAAAGGAGGTGGATGGTTTGAAAAGCTCTGCTCAGCAGAGCTGTGATCCACAAAGCCCCAATTTTAAGTAAGCAGTTTAAAAGGACAAGTCAATTAAGGACTTTTACGGACTTTTTTTTTTTTTGCCTATGTGCAAATTTTAATCTGGTAACGACAAATGCATCTTTCATATTCATATAAACACACTACCATGAGCCCTCCACAGAAGGTTTCATTAAAAATCTAATAGATACCACCATGAGCCCTGAGCAGATCTTCCAAAACGCCTCATGCACACTGGTGTTACGCTTTTAAAATGCTCCAAGTCACGTGGGATGGCCAAAACACTGTCCATGATATTTGAGGCTTTGCCTAACCGTCACCTTCTGTCTTAACAAAGTAAGACCAGACTGCTTTTCTTTGTGTATGAGAATATTTCCAATGAGAAGAGGGCCCCCAGAAAACAGATCCCGGATGCTCAAAGTTGCCATCCTTCCTACAAACTAAAACCCAGAAGGGAGTCTATGAAGTGACGCTCACTGAAAGCTTCCATTGGTTTTAAGAACTTGGTTGCAAATGGGTTTCCGATCCCCACACACAAAAAATCCACTTTGAGCAAAATGATGGGCCATACATGAAGTTCACAGAACTCGCTCAGAGCCATGTGAACGCTCCAACAGAGTCACAAGAGATGAATTCATATTTCTCTATTTCAGTGCTTCAATTTCCATAAGTCAAAGGAAAAGCCACCTGTTAGTCAACGTAAGAACATAAATTATTGATAAAACTTGCTCAGCTCTTACCTGTAGAGTATTTTCCTTCCATCACATTGAAAGGCTGAACCCTTAGATCAAAGGTATTTATCTGAAATGCTCCAGACACTGAAACGGTCTGCTCTTTGTTGCACATATAAGAACTTCCCAGGGGGGCATCCCAGTAGCTCAGATTGTTATTTGCGATGCTGAAAACTTGAAAGAAAACAAACACGTTAGGAGTTTTTTTTTTTTAAAGTAGGTTCTACACCTAACATGGGGCTTGAACTCTCATCCAAGATCAAGAGTCGCACATTCTACCCACTGAGCCAGCCAGGCGCCCGTTTGTAACTTCTTGTTCTACCAAGAGAAGAAATGGGACAGTCCTCAGAATTTTTCAGTGAATATGAGAATTTTTCAGTGAATATGGGAATTTTTCAGTGAAGTGACCCTGGGGTACAGGGTCTACCAAAAAAAAAAAAAAAAAGGCGATTCTTAGGATCACTAGGTTTCCTATCTTTCTATAGCTGTTCCTGTGGTCTAAAAAATCAGTCATCCTTAACTATTATCCACCCTATTTGAAAACAAGGGGGACTGAAAAGATAAAACACTGTAGTTCTCAGTTACTGATTTTCAGTTGTGGTCAAGGGACCATTTTCACACAAATTCTTCTGTTCCATGAAATAAAAGGCACTATTTGGTAACAAAACAACTATGGTTTCTATGTCTTCAGTGTAATTCACTCTTCCCCAAGGCCAATGCTTTGCTTACCAGAGCCATTAAGCAAGTACACACTGACATTCACTTCCTTCAGATAGAATCGGTTTTCATTTTTCTGTTAGAAAAAGAGCGTCCAGTTAATCAACACATTACAATCGTCTACAGGTACAGTTAATATCTACAGATGAAAAGCAACCTAATACTATTACCCAGAAGATAAAACCAAGGATTAGACCCGGACCAAAAGAACGAACTGCAGCTAAGCAAAATTAACAGAATCCCTTTCTCCTCTGTGTTCTGTCTCCAATTTTCGGACCAAGGATGTAGTCATGTGGTTCTTCGATACTCAACAATTCGTTCCCTCATTTTATTCCTCCTGTCACTTGCTAAGCCCCCACCCCCTCTAGCCTGGATCCTGACAGTCTCTTAACTGGGCTCCCTCCCTGCCTTACAGCCTCTCCAGCTGGGAGCTTTCCTTGCCACTATTATCTCGGTGAAGCACACATCTAATTATGTCAGTGCTTAGCATGTACAAGGCAACATATCTAAGCGCTCCAGGGAGCTAGCCAAATGAACCAGGCTTGGATCCTGCCCCCACCGTGTTTGCAATCTGCCAGGGAAGATAAGATAAATACGTAAAGAAATAACCATATTGCAAAAAAGACAGCAATCAATTATAAAAATTAAAAGGAGATAGATGACTTCCACGTAGGGGAGAAGCAAAGCGATGTGAGCTTAGGGCTGCGCCACTTGAACTCTGCCGAGTCAGGGAATGAGCAGGAAAGGGTATTCTGGAAGGCAAGAGCATGAGTAAAAGGTATCCAGAAAATAAGCACTATCACAAGTACACCAGCATTTGAAAATTTAGTGCCAAGCGATGTTCCTAAAACTTTACATACAAGGTGCCTGGGCAGCTCAGTCAGTTAAGCCTTTGTCTTCAGCTCGGGTCATGATCCCAAGGTCCTGGAACTGAGCCCCGCATCAGGCTCTCCACTCACTGGGGAGCCTGCTTCTCCCTCTCCCTCTGCCTGCCTCTCTGTCAAATAAATAAATGAAATCTTCAAAAGATTTTATTTATTTGACAGAGAGAGAGACAGATCACAAGTAGGCAGGCAGGCAAGAGAGAGAGGGGGAAGCAGGCTCCCCACTGAGCAGAGAGCCCGATGCGGGGCTCGATCCCAGGACCCTGAGACCATGGCCTGAGCCAAAGGCAGAGGCTTAACCCACTGAGCCATCCAGGCGCCCCATAAACAAATAAAATCTTTTTAAAAATTTTACATGCAAGGTATCACTGAATAATTGTAACATGTGAAGTGATTTTCCCTAAGACGATACGGTCAGTGGTCAGCGAGGTAGGATTTGAACCCCGGAAGTCTGGCTGCAGAGCTCAAGCGCTGGCTGCTACTGTGCTCTCCTACCTCACAGAACACGCCAAGGGAAGCACGGGCTTCCTAAGTGAAGGGAAAGGAGGAGACATAAAGTCAGACATGCAAGATCCACTGTGTGGCGGGTGTGGGGGGGGGCAGCTTGGGGAGAGAGATTTGAAATAACCTGCCGTGGAGTTGAGAGGTTATCTTGTCGGTAAAACAGAACCGCTGAAGCGTTCTGAGGACAAGGGAAGATTAAACGAATGCAGAAGAACACTGAGGGAGGAGAGGAAGAGGACAGACTAGTTGGGATGCTGGGAGGTAAGAGGTCACGCAGGCTGGACTCAGAGCACAGGCAGTGGGGAACAAAAACGGAAGGGACAGATGCAGAGAAATGTCAGGGGGAGGCACAAAGGAGGACTTGACCACCTCGTTACACCTTTCCTCGCCTGAGGCTATGTCTCGGCTTGGCATTCAAGGCTCCTTGCAATTTGTCCCAACTACTTTCCCATACCGGTCTTTCCCTGATTATGTCACGTGCCTCATTCGCCAAGGTGGTCTTGATTACATTCCTTTTTCCAGAAATAATCTGTACTTTTCTGCTTCCTCCCCTTATCCCCACGTGTACAAACCTATCCTCGAAGGTCCAGCTCAAATGTCATCTCTTCCGTTAAACCTTCCTAAGTCTCCTCCACCCAGAATTAACCACTGCCTCCTCTAGGCTCCCACAGACTTTGTCTTTTCTTCTGGTCTATCATTCATCCAACTGGAATGCACCTTCCATGGATCTCTAATTGCCCACAGAATCCAGTTCTGAAGTCTCAGCATAGCATTCCAGATCTTCCACAAAAATGGTCATTATTTGTACATTCCTATCTTTACCACTGAACTGTGAGATCTTTATTAATACAGGGCTTTTTCTTTGAATCCCACCATGGCATCCAGCACTCAACACACTCAAACTCAAGAAATTTTCCTTAGAAGCGTCTATCATAACAGGGTTGAAGCTGGGCCCCAGTGAGGTCTGATGACATTACAGGTGTTTCTTCATTTTTTGAAGTGCCTATGGCATGGTTAAAATGCCACCATTTTGGTCTATTTCATTTTTTTAAAAGATTTATTTATTTGAGAGATATAGACAGAGACAGCAAGAGAGAGTAGGAGCGGGGAGCCTGATGTGGGGCTCGAGCCCAGGACCCTGGGATCATGGCCTGAGCCAAAGGCAGAAAAGGCAGACGCTTATTAACCCACTGAGCCTCCCAGGTGCCCCAAAATGTCACTGTTTTGAACTGCAATCAAAATAATCTGTTGGGGGCACCCGGGTGGCTCAGTGGGTTAAGCCTCTGTCTTTGGCTCAGGTCATGACCCCAGGGTTCTGGGATCGAGCCCCACATCACATCAGGCTCCCTGTTCAGTGGGTAACCTACTTCTCCCTCTCCCTCTGCCACTCCCCCTGCTTGTGCTCTCTCGTCAAATTTTTTTTTTTAAAAACAAACTTAAAAAAAAATAAAATAAAATAGTCTGTTGGGAAAATTAAATATTGTAATTATTAAATATTTCCCCACAACAGTCAGAAGAAACCATGTTCCTTTTAGGACCCGACCACAGCTAGAAAAATCAAAGTCAATCACTCCAAAGGGAAGGAACCTAAAACACTACTACTTTCTTCATTCTTATAGTATAATCTCTATGAGGTAACTTTAAAAGAGAACATGTCCAGGGAGGCCTGCTCTTACCTCATCGGAAAGGACGAGCCTGACCTGACATTTTTAATACTAATCCTCTGGTCACATGTGTACTGTAACAGAGGCAAGCTTTCAATGCTGGTAAAGGGAAGATCCTTATAAACCTTTCTAAACTGTAATTGCCTGATACAGTCCTCAATTACTCCACATATATTCTAGAGAGAAAGGGGCTTCAGACTAAACATACTAAGTTCGGACTTGAAACAAACTCCACACACCTAATTTTTTTATGTATCAGATGTTGAGAGTGTTTCTCCATCCTAGATAATATAACCTGATTTAAAAGCAGAACTGTTTTTTAATCTACCTATACAGTAACTCTCAGTTTGAGAATTGCTGACAGCTTAACGTTTTCCCTGATGGCTGTCCCCTTTCCCATTCCCATTTGCTAAAACACGTGTGTACACACACACCCCCCCTCAAAAATTATGAGGGTAAGAGCTGCTTCTGAGAAGGGAGAAATAAAAGTCCTCAATGATGAATTTATGCTAGCAAAAAGTAGAGCACATAGTCTTAACCTGGAACCTTCTCTTTAGGGTTCAGCCCTTCATGCAAGCATGAACAACAAAAACCCGAATGCTACCATTATACACTACGTTGATTTAATGAATTTATGCACGGTAAGTACTTACACAGAGCCTTGCGGGTGGCAAGTACCCAATGAACGTTAACTATTATCCCTGATACTACGACAAACAGTATAGCCTCCAAAAAGCCTAAAATATTCGAGTAAACAAGCATGAGTTTTCTAACCAATAACAGAGAAACATGTGAGGGAAATTACTGTTTATCTTTTATAACATGTTATGTATAAATATATACACTTTATCATTGAGTATTTCTATAGCGGATAGATTAGAGATGATTTTTTTTTTGATGTGGGTTCATTCCTGCACCTACCCTCAAGTCTACGTACGGGCAGGACAGTCGCTTCTGGCGAACAGGAAGCTAAGAATCCAGCCCACGGGCCGCCGAGGTGACTGAGGGATTAAGAGGGGCGGATGGCCCACACTTTATCATGAAGCAGTGCTGAAATGAAACACAGGGCTGAATCCTCTGCTACACACACAGCTACTTAGACTTTCAGCCGTGTTTCTGAGAAAATGGCCCAATCTCAGGGAAATCTGTTACTCACCACGGCGAAGACGAAGTCAAGATACTTGATGCTGCTGCTGTTCAGGCTGAGCAGGGCACTCCGAGGCTGGCAGCTCCCGGTGAAGTCCGTGGCGTTGGGGTTGATGTTAATAATTGAAACCACCTGGAGGGGAAGAAGAGGGAGAAAGGTACAGCTTGCCCAGGCGAGTCCACAGCAAAACTTTATGCTCTGATAAACAACTTCGGGGGGGGGGGGGCGGACAAAAAATGCTTTTGTCTGGATACCCAAGTTTATGGTGTCTTACTTTCAAACGAAGCTGGCCCAGGCCCTCAAGCTATGACTCAGACAACTTAAAAAAAAAAAAGGAAAGAAAAGAAAAACAAGAAGGAAGCTTCCTCAGTAGTGAGCCAAATGAAGACACATTTTTATGGAGCACAAGAGCCATCTGTGCCGCTTATGGAAGGGCAAGACTCTGGAAATGGGATGCGTCCGTCGGCACGCCCCCTGGAGGCGCAGGGGAACACTGCAACCACAAGCGCCGCGGAGGACGCAAGCCTGGGGTGCGCGGCCAGGCCACCGTCTGAGTCATGCAGAAACAGCTGCACTTTCCCCTAAGTCAACCTACACTGCGTTCCAGATACAAATGTGAAGGAGTTATATTTTAAACGGACTGAAATAAAAATCAACTGTCTGTACTCCGATCTACTGATGGTAAACAGAATCTAAACCCCGAAGAGTCCCTGAAACGGCTAGGTTTCCCGCGGGCCAAGAAAACCCCTTGCCTGGGACCTTAACTCTTCGTGGTTAGAGTAACTCTGAATTCATCAGCTCTCAACAAGTCAACATCAAATCTCCATTTAAAACAGAACTGGGGGCGCCTCTGTTGTTAGGTGGCTGCCTTCGGCTCAGGTCATGGTCCTGGGGTCCTTGGGTCCTGAGGTCAAGTACCGCATCAGACTCTCTGCTCAGCGGGGAGTCTGTTTCTCCCTCTGCCCCACTCTCTGCTCATGGTATCTCTCTGCCCCCTCTCAAATAAGTAAAATTTTTAAAAATCTTTAAAACAGAACCAGTCTAGCAACACTACTCTTGGGCTGGAGGAAAGATACACCGCATCTGAAAGGAGATATGAGAAGAACGTATCAATAAACACAGAGAACTATACCTTATTGTGAGTGACGTTCAGCTGCAGCCCCATGGTAGCCAGAAGACAAGTACCATTGCTGTTATTAACCGAGTAGGATCCCACCTCTGGTTTCTCCTTTGGAGTAGGTGCTGTGGTGGGGGATGGCACAGTGGTGGGGGTGATGGGCACCACAGTGGTGGAAGTTTTATCTTTTTCACAAAGAAACTCTAAAGAAAACAAACAGGACAAAATAAGCTGAAGTGGCCTTAATTCTTAAGGCCAGGAAAGAGCAAAATATTTCTCACAATACAAGTTCAAAGGGTTATATTAGGGGACTCAGGCAGAGGTTCCCAAACTGCTGCTTCAGATACTGACGGGTCTCTCAGAATTATGACACACCAGACACATACAAATGCTTTCTCTAGGGGTGCCTGGGGGTGCTGGGTGGGGTAAGCCTCTTGGCTGAGGTCATGATCTCAGGGTCCTGGGATCGAGCCCCACATCGGACTCTCTGTTCAGCGGGGAGCCTGCGTTCCCCTCTCTCTCTGCCTGCCTCTCTGCCTACTTGCAATCTCTGTCTAATTAAAAAAAAATGCTTTCTCTACTTCATACTTCAGCTACCACACACTCATCTTTTTGGGCCCTGATGTCCCTTTATTCCCAAAGAGTGTCACCTGCCTCTGATGTGAAAATGAGAGATTTAAATCTGAAAACATCTCCCTCCTACCCTCTTCTTTCCCACACACAACCACTAGAAGGAAGGAGAGCAGAGGAACGTTTAGAAATCACTACAGGGTTCAAATACAAATGAACCTTCTATTTGTATCACCCTTTCAGCAAACCAGAGGCATTTCAACCTCTTCTTAGGAAGGGCTGGTTGATTTTCAGAGCTGGTGAATGAGAAATTATGACATTTCCATTAAGCTATACGTAAGTTATAAAAGCAGTTTATAAGTAAACTCAAGATTCAAACACAAAAATCTCATTCCTAAGCTGTGGTCTTGGATCACCAAAAGCTAAAAAGCTGATGATCAAGCTATCTGAGGATTTGTTCAAACAAAGACTGGGTTTGATCCGCTGAAAACACTACAGGTCAAGCATCTGTAAAAAACCATCCCCACAATGTGTGCATCATCAACTTGAAATTGCCAAGTCCCACAGGAACAAGAATTATGGTTATTTGCAAAAACCTTACGGTCCGGTGTAAGCTACGAACAAGTCTTAGTGTAGAAATGCTTCCAGATAACAAGACTTCAATGAAAGCCAGCTGGTATACTATACTTGAAGCTTAAATCAGGATCCAATTGTATCTATTTGAAGAACTCACCTTTTGTGCTCACTGTACCATTCTGGACAAAAGCCTGTACGTGAACATCCCAATAGTACTGGACGACACCACTGTTCTCTAGAGTTGATAAACTATTGCATCTGAACATGTCATTCAAAGGAATTCTGAATCCCACAGCGTCACGGACGGTCAAAATTCCTATAAAACAAGATTAACACTATTGGTTTCCAAGAAGGCAGGAGAAAAGCGATCACGTAAATTTATCTGCAGACTCTCTCCTCCTTCTGCCGGCCTGCCTCACCGCATCCACATGGGACAGAGGACATGGCATGTTCAAGAAATGACGAATTCACTGGGGCTGAAACAGCGAGTTAGGAGGAAAGCCGTGATGGGGGTTAAGAGGGAAAGATGAGTCACAGGTGGCCATGCGTTGAAGGAAACCGGAGGAGTTGAGCACACGTTAGGCTTTATTCTGTCAGCAGTGGAGGGTGAGCTTGAGTTTTAAAAGCTGGAAATAAATAACACACATATAATTTATTCTAAGGGAGATGACAAAATTGCAGGGGCTAGGCAGGGGGAGTAACTTCTGAGGGAAGTCATTAAAGAAGGAAAGTAGTTAGAAGGCTGCTGCTCTGGCTGAGGTAAAAGGTGAGGGCCTGCCTAAGTTAAGATGGTGAGAGGCAGAAAACAGACAGCAAAAAGGCCAAACGGAACACACAGCTAACGTACGATCAACAGGGCCTCGCGACCAAAGGAAGGAAGGAAGGAAGGAAGATGGATTCGGCAAGGACTTCGGAGGAAGTCCTTACTTTTGTGCTACTACCTCCGAAGTAAGTTACAGTTACTAAAATGAGCTTCTGGAACCTCTTCCTGGCTAGCATTTCAAAACTACTCCATTTCAGGATATCCTCCGAATGTGCAAGGAGTTAAGTTACCGTCAGTCTGTATGGAGTTTTTATTGTAAGGCCCATGGTGAAAAGACGATGACCACACTATCCATACCCAAATGGCTTAGTTTCTTCCAGAGAAGCATCGAGGGAGGGAGGGATACAAGGTCCTTAACAGGGGCTGCCTTCAGGGCCTCTCCATGAAGTAGCAAGACAGCCAATTAATGTTGTCATGGCACCCCCTAATGGCCAAAGAGGGGAAAAATTTAAGCCAAAGAACTAGATCATTTTCCCCCAAAACTGGTTTCTCTCACTGTTAACGTAAGTGAATAGGTATTTGAACTGTCTTATTAAACAGGCCTCAGAAACCATCTACAGACATACTAGAGATCTACTGTGAAACGATAATTTTTTAAACTATGTATTATTTATGAATATGTACCGGTTAGTCCAATATGAACAGACCAATAGGAAGGCTCCACCCCAAGTTCCTAAGAGTGGCTGCCATTTGGGAGGCAAAGAGGAAAATGGCTCCGGGGAGTGAGTACAAAGGAAACCTCAAATGTATCTGTAAGGCTTTATTTCTTTAAATAAATAAAAAGATGAGGCAAAATATGAAAGAAATGGCATTTATAAATTCTGGGTAACAGATACATGTAAGTCTATTACATGACTCTCTGGACTTTTCTGTACTTTAACCACAAAAAAAAATTTAAAAGAAAACAGCAGCTTTCAAAATTACTCCGATTATCAGATGCCTAAAAATAAAACACTAAATCATTTCAAAAACAACAGTCCATTTAAGGAAACCATTTTAAATTCCAAATAGTTTCAAATATGTTATTTCACAGACGCTGGTCATTAAAAAAAACTGCATTCCTCGTTTAAAATAAAAACAAGGAGAGCAAGATGTTAATTTTAGAGTCCACCGTTTTTCCATTCAAATCTGTCACATCTATCCTTTTATCGCCACCCCTTTGATCTCAGCACTGGTTTTATCATCTCTTGGTTACTGCAGCAGCCCCTTAACGTGGGTATCTCTGCCTGCGGTCTCCTCACTTCCCAATGAATCCTACAGAACATTCTTTATAAACTACTGTCTCTGCTTTAGTTATGTCATTCTCCTGCCTAAAAACCTAAAATGGTTCCCCAGTGCCTACGCCATCAAGCTAAATGCCTTTCCTTGGCTTCCAAGGCCCCCTATAATTTAGACCCGCTGCGCCCAGCCAACTTGATTCTCCTGCTACACACACAGCCTCTATTTTCATCAGGAAGCTTTCCAGCGACTGCTGCTCATACTATGCTTCCCCCTGCTGGAAAGCCTCCGCTCAAACTCCCTGCCTGACTCAGCTCGTCCCCCTCACTCCTCCAACACCCGCCGACCTCTCCTCTGCTCGCAGACTGGCGACTGGTGAGGACACATTCAGACCACGCACTCTTGAACCACAGGCCCTCACAGATGGGCTCAGGAAGCATGTGGCATCTGCAAGTTTACTCTACCCTGAGCAAGAGGGCCAGCAGGCTTCCCTCATGTCCACCCCCCCCCAACAAAACCCCAGAACAACAACAGATAACCACACTGATCCAGTGCTTTCTACTTTTGCCATCGAACTTGGAAAAACCATTTTGCTTTGTCTCCCCAACTTGTTTTACAACTCCTTGAAGGTGAGGGGCAAATCGCAGGCTAGTTGGAAAGGACAATGCAGGGCGCAAAGCTAAATACACAAGTAAACCGGTAACAGACTTGCTCTAGTTATCCTTTTGCACAAGATTAGGAAAGAGAAAACTAGGACTGATTTCCCAGTCTCTGTCCCTGTTGCCTCCCAAGTTTTGTATGAGCTCATTCACCTCTGGGTCCTGAAAATAGGATCTTTTGCTATCCATACCTCCAGTGAAGTCATTCATCCCCAGGGCTTGCAACTAGAGACCATCTGCGTGTGTTTCTGGGGTTGAAAGGAAATACTATTTGTGAAAGCTACTTACAGACACCCTGTTGACCCAAATCTCAACAGAAGGGAAAGAAAGGAGAATTACAACCCCAGCTAAGCTGAAATCTCCACTATCCGTGCCCTCAAAATACTCAGTACAAAATAAAAAATCCAGCGCGCATTTCAGTTCTAAGAGTGACAAGAACGCCTTATTGCCAATGCTTTTCCGAGTTGGTCTGGACCTGAAATTGTCTCGAAATAGCAACATTTTGCCTTTCATTTTGCCTTTATCATTTACTTTTCAGTCCAAATCCTATCTAAATGGTAAAAAAAAAAAAAAGATCTGAAGATGAAGCATTTCTGCTGATCTCAGGTTACTGAACTTGTACAGATTTAAAATCTCTATTGGCGGGGGCTGGGTGGCTCAGTCATTAAGCGTCTGCCTTGGGCTTAGGTCGTTATCCCAGGGTCCTGGGATCCAGCCCTGCATCAGGCTCTCTGCTCAGCGGGAAGCTTGCTTCTCCCTCTCCCACTCCCCATGCTTGTGTTCCCTCTCTCGCTGCCTCTCTCAAATAAATAAAATCTTTAAATAAAAAATATCTATCCCTAAAGGGTTTTTCTCACTCATTCAGCATTTGTTGATGACCCACTACTGAATGAAATAAGTAAAAAGAGTAAAGCCCACAAACGCTGCAGCTTAACAGACTTTGGTTCAAACACCAGCTCACCACTTAAAAGCTGTGTGACCTCGGGGAAAGTCAATCTCATCAAGACTCACTCCCTTTACCTATAAAGCTGAGATAATTTCTACTTCCCAGGCTTGCTGTTACGGACTGAGACGCAGCTAGTCACACACTTAGGGTACTCCGTGGTACAAAGTAAATCACTCAAAGAGGGACAGGTACACTGCCATACATGGGGTGGTGGGGACAAAAAGACATGAACTTTCTGTTCTAGTTAAGAAGACACGTGTATGCAGATGATTTTTTAAAATTATTTACATTTGTATTATTTTCTAAATGTGTATATAGATACATACACAACACACTTTTTAAAAAGATTTATTTATTTATTTGAAAGCGAGCGAGCGAGCATGAGCAGGGTGAGGGGCAAAGGGAGAAGCAGACTCCCCGCTGAACAAGGAGCCCGATGCGGGGCTTGATCCCAGGACTTTGAGACCATGATCTGAGCCAACGGCAGGCTGCTCAACCCACTGAGCCACCCAAGCACCCTAAATTTGTATTAATATAAGCAAGAGAGGGGTGCTGGGTGGTGCAGTGGGTTAACTGTCTGACTCTGGGTTTCAGCTCACATCGTGATTTCAGGGTCATGAGATCAAGCCCCATAGCAGAGCCGGGAGTCTAACTGGGTGTTTCTCTCTCTCCCTCTGCCTCTACCCCACCACGCACATTCTCTCTCTCAAAGATTAAAAAAAAAAAAAAAGAGCAAGAAAGCGTAACACAAATCTAATTCATAAGCTTACCTTTATCTTTAGCATCGGGAAATGTCGCCTTATCACTAGTGTTGTAGGTAAACGAGATGCCGTCAATTGAGTAAGTAGACTCCTCCTTGGTAAAATCCACAGTCCAGGAAAAACCAGATCCAAACTGCACCACTATTTTGGGATTGTTCTGATCATCCCCACAAATGCTTCCATTATATGATGCAGTGCTGAAGTCGGAAACGGTTACAGTTTTCTACAAGAAAAAGGAGTGCGGGGGTAAGGAGGAAACAGGCAGTACTGAGCACCAAGCATCTGTAGAGGACGAGCACCAAGCATCTGTAGAGGACGCACCAATTGGGTCTCTGTCACCAGCCCCCCCCCCCCACAGCCAGGCTGCCCTTGACCTGCCCCATTGTGTAAACCAGTCTCAGATTCTTCACCTACATCCCAGTCCTCTGGACAAATTCATGTATGTCAGAAAGGAAAAAGGAAAATTGGCCTGAACGTCTGCTCTTGATTAAAAAAAAAAATTAGGTTATAAGCAGGCAGCACCTTAACTAGAAGAAAATAGGAAGGCAAAAGGATTGAGAGGCTACCCCTCAAAGGAGATTTTAATAGCAAACTATTAAAACTGGGAAAGCTTTGATGTGTACATGTTAAGTGTTACAGATGTAGTCAGACCTCAATGCCACAGTCTTTGGATCATTTGCCCTTAATCAGCTGCAAGAAGAACTCCAAAGAACCCGGGAAATAAAATATTCCTTTCAACACTAAACAGAACACCTTCAAGTATCTACTTTTTTTTTTTTAAGAAACTGACAGAATTCAAATGTTAAGTCAGTTAACATATGCAATCTTATTTACGTGAATATATACAAAGGATAAAGGGTAGAACTGAGTTCCTACTGTAAAACTCAAAGAAAAAGAAAAGCACTTACGTAAGTTTTGTTAGTAGTCTCATAGCGTATTGTGAAATTCATCTGCCATTTTGCATAAAGGCAAACGGCTTTTTCTGAGTCTGTCACATTAAATTCCAATGCATAAGATGAGACCGCTCCTAGATTAGAAAGAATCAGACTGTAAAATTGTACCACAACAACATATCTAAAAGAAAAAGCTCTACCCACCACTCAAGTTCAACCAGCTCTAAAATGAAACAAAAGGCTCTGAACATATATGGCATCCTGGTAATGGTTTTTCTTTGTATTTTTTAGCAGAATCCTATTGATAAAGTCAGCATCACCTGTTCCAGAAGGAATGGTTACTTGACCTAGGATGCTTAGGTAATGGCAAAGACTGGTGACATTTGCTTTTTGCCTCCTAACAGTCATATATACACATTCATCTGTGCCTTGGTAGTTTTGCCTGTCAGGACTTTTGTTTTTAAGGCAAATGTACTTAAAGAGGAAGGCTCCAGAGGGGTGTTAAACTGTCCCTCTCCTTTACAACAAGGATAGAACTAGAGGGTATTATGCTAAGTGATGTAAGTCAGAGAAAGTCAAGACCATATGAAAGTCAGACCATATGATCTGCTCAGATGTAGAATATAAAAACCAAAACAGATAAACAGGGGAAGGGAGGGAAAAATAAAATAAGACGAAATCAGAGAGAGAGACAAACCGTAAGAGACTCTTAACTGTAGCAAACGAACAGGGTTGCTGGAGGGGAGGTGGGTGGAGGGATGGGGTAACGGGGTGACGGGCATGAAAGGGGGCCCTTGATGGAATGAGCACGGGGTGTGACATGCAACTGACGACCCCCTAAACTCTACCCCTAAAACTAGTAATACACTATGTTAACTGACTGATTTTAAATAAAAACAAACAAACAGGACACCTGGGTGGCTCAGTTGGTTAAGCCGCTGCCTTCAGCTCAGGTCGTGACCCCAGGGTCCTGGGATCGAGTCCCCAGGTGGGCTCCTTGCTCGGCAGGGAGCTTGCTTCTCTTGCTGCCTCTGCCTGCCACTCTGCCTGCTTGTGTGTACTCTCTCTCTGACAAATAAATAAAATCTTTGAAAAAAATTTAAAAATAAAAACAAACAAAAACAAAACAACCCTGTCTCCCTCAAACCAGCCAGTGGAACTTTCCGTCAAAATAATGATAGATCGGATGTTCTATGGTCTTGTTGCTTTCAATCCTGCTGAAAGCTATGTGACCTATGACACACAGATATCTTGGCAAACTATTTTACTCTGATAGGAAGGTGTGGGAGAGCTTTGTAAGCAGGTGTACCATGTGACCAAAAGAACAGTTTCAAAGGTTGTTAGGTCTAAACGCAAAAGGTTAATTTTTTATAAATGTAACATTCATCACTTTGTTTTATTTAAAACCCAGTCAGTTAGGAAGGCTGACGAATCTTTTGATATGGACTCAGAGACATTTCCCATGTTTGGAGCCTGCTACTTCTTTTGGCAGAGAAACCCTAAAGGGTCAAAAGCCTTGGGACTTTTGAGCTCACGTGGCTCTGATCTACACCAGGATACACGCAGGGACATAACCTGTTAAGCTGGAAGCGCCCAAGGACTCAAAATGCTATGTGCCAGCAAACACGCCAGCGCCTAAGTGACTGACAACCATGTAAGGGTTTTCTGCACTGTCTCCCACATTACCCAAGGGGTGAGCTGTTTCCTGTTAAGACACTTGCATATCCTTTAATGATACCTGAGCAATGCGGCGTCATCTGCAAGCAGGGACATGCTAAGGACTACAGAGCAGAAAGTCCTGAGAGGAATACCAAGAGGGCGTGCCTCAGCAACACCTTTCAAGTTGTACACAAAGGCCAACCATGTGGATGCACCAGAGACCAGGCTGCCTTGCCAGCCCGAGTATTATGCTAAAGCTTGTGGTTACTGAGTGCCTAAATGTATTGGTTAAGGCTGGAAAAGACCTCGAGAGGCCTAAGTCGGTTTCATCGCCATTCTTTTCTAAGTACGATATGGAATGGAGGAGCTGTCAGCCCTGACCCCAGGCTACCCAGGAGTGGGGCTGAGGACTCTGACTTCTAATGCTATCAAATGGAGGCCTGCTTTTTATAGGCTGTCTCTCTGCACCTCATTTTAAGTGCCCCAGCTTTAACATAACCTCCTTGTAGTGAAAGGATTCAAATCAGCTGGAAATAACCAAGAAGAGCCTCACATTCACTTTCCAAACTAATCATTTACTTTCCAAAGATAATAAAGTGACGGAAAGAAAATGGCAGAAGACGGTTAACAGCCCCGCCGTGCCCACGTGGACCTCAAACTTCATGAAGCAGAAGGCACAAGTAAGTTGTGGTTCCAATGTACCACTACAATAAAGTCAAGATAGTCTAGCTGCTGACCTGAAAATGAGAACTGAGAAAGGCCCTGAGGGCTCCAGCACTTTCGGTTCTGGTGCCTTCACTGCCTTTCTCCCAGTGAGAGCTACTCCTTTCACAGAGCTTCCCCACTCCCTTCCCTCTGCCTCTCCCAACTGCACTGGAAACCACTTTCACTCAGTATCTATCACCTCACACTCAACGATTCCAAAACTGAAAGTCACTCTTCTGCTTCTTCTAAGCTGGTCCCCTTCTCAGCCTCTCTAGCTCTCAAGGAGAGATGGGACCCAGTAGAGCCATTCAGGCACAGAAGTTTAGGAATTAGCTTCTACTTCATTCCCTTCCTGAAGTCCTACTGGCTTTTTTTTCCCCTTCAAATCCTCTCTTAAATCCAACCTTGGTCTTTTATTTCTACTCCCAATCCACCGCCCCACCCCTACATTACTACAGATGCCTCCCAGCTGTCCCTAGAAATGCTTCTTGATTAATGGTCCTTAAATACCTCTTCCTTTCTGGACACTTGTTCAGAAACTTTTACAAGCTCCCGAACTCCCATATTAAATTTAAAGTCCTCCACCTGACTTTCAAAGTAATCCTTAATCTCATCCCACCCTATTCCTTCAACTTCTCTCAAACCATTTTCCCAGAACACACCCTTTAATCCGGTTAAACTTGTCCTGCTGGACCCAAACAACCATGCTTTACTCAATTTCTACCCCCAGGCTTTGACTGTCCCCACCATTTGAAATTTACCGGTTTTTCTACTGACCTCAATGTTCACTTCAGGAAGGATATCCCTCTCTATCTGGCTGCCCCCAAATACGAAACCCCCCACCCCTCGCTCGACCCTGCCTCTTCCTAATCATTTCTGGTCAGTATCACCACCCACTCTAAGAGCTGAAAATGCCAGATACTCACCGTCCCTTCCTCGCCACCCTGGCAGCAAGGATGGGCACTTGGGCTCGGCTCTGCCTGACAGAGGCATCCACCCCAGATTTCAGATAGGACGGCAGTGGAATCAGAGCCACGAATGGAACTGTCTCCCTCAGGCGGAAGCTGCCACCACAGGCAGGATCCAGGCGGGACAGCCGGTTCAGGCTTGGCGCCCTGGGCGCCGCTCGGTGGTGTGATTTGGGAACCTCAACCAGGCTTCAAGATACACAGGCAGGAGCTCTGACGATTCTGACTTAACCTGATACACGTTTTTTCATCAAGTGAAACCGTACCAATGTGCGACATACACACAGAAGCGTGCACACTGCAACACACGAAAGCAAAAAGCGCACTAACACGGAGCGGACGGCTCCAAGAATTTGCGCTAACTGAATCCACTCGTGTCAAGAAACAGAACATTCCAAGAGCCCCGTAAGCCCCTGCTGTTCTCCCTTCCAGGTACCTTCTCCCCCCTCCCAAGGGCATCCACTGTCCTGACTTCTCTAACTGTATTAGATTCATTTTGCCTGTTTTTCAACTTGTGATCAGTGGAATCATTCACCGTGTCCTCCTGTGTCTGGCTTCTTCGACCGCGCCTCATGTCCGTGCCGTTCACCCGGGCTGCTGTGTGTCACTGCGGTCTGTCCCAGCTCACTCTGTGTATGCAGCTTTCTGTTACTGGGCAAATACTGCCCTGCTGAGGGATGGTAGATCGCACGCGGCACATGGATGGTTTCCAGTTTGGCCTTACCACACGTGGACACGTTGGCAAGCACACATGCACGCGTACCTGCTGGGTGTGTATCTAGGGATGAAATGGTGGGACCGAAGCCTACACATATGCCCTGGTATCTTTTTTTTTTTAAGATTTTATTTATTTATTTGACAGAGAGAGAGATCACAAGTAGGCAGAGAGGCAGGCAGAGAGAGGGAAACAGGCTCCCCGCTGAGCAGAGAGCCCGATGTGGGACTCGATCCCAGGACCCTGAGATCATGACCCGAGCCGAAGGCAGCGGCTTAACCCACTGAGCCACCCAGGCACCCACCCTGGTATCTTTTTAATAAACTCCTTTTCTGCTTAGAATCGATCAGATTTTATTCCTGGTGCTTACAATGAAGAACCTGGACTGGGGCACCTGGGTGGCTCAGTCAGCTGGGCGTCTGCCTTGGGCTCAGGTCATGATCAGGTTCCTGGGATTGAGCCCCTGCGTCGGGCACCCCGCTCAGCCGGCTTCTCCCTCTCCCTCTGCCTGCCGCTCTGCCTATTTCTGCTCTTCCTCTGTCTGTCTGTCAAACAAATAAATAAAATCCTAACAACAACAACAAAAAGAACCTGGACAGATTAAGCTACCCATTTTTCTCCACCAAGATCTCCTTAATTGTAAAAGCCTCAAGGAGCAATCATACATGGTATATACCCCCACCTTTCTGTATATTTTATACTATCCTGAATTATTCAGTTATTTTATGCCTGGAAATCCTGACCCCCTATATTGTCACAAGCCTTAAAACAGCAGTTTTCAACTATAACTTCACAAGAAACTGATGTGTCATGGTAAATTATAGTATACAGCAGGTAATTTGTTAACTAATAAAAAAAAAAGGACCTCAGTCTGTGAATGGATGATATATATGGATTTAAGATTCCCTTTTGGTAATGTCTCCACCCCTCATTTGAATTCCAATATTCTCCCTTCCCGACAGAAGATCTAATCTCTGCCGCTGCTCCTGGAGCGAGCCCCTTAGATGAAGGTTCATCCATCAAGGAGGCCATGGTTGGGGAGACTGTGTCTATCACTCTCCCTCCATCTTCTATCATTCCTAATAGT